TTTTTCCTTTATAAAGAAATGAAATTATTCAATTTATGTTCTTTAATTAACAAATTCTCTCTATTCCATTTACTTCTCAAACAAAAATATATTTTATTAGTTATTTCAAAACTTATTTTTTTCCCTTAAAATTCATGTTCTCGACAAAAAAGTATTGAATTTATGTTGCTTAATACAACAGACTCTAATCCATTCACTTCTCAAACAAAAAGAATGTATTTTGCTTTAATATAACAACTCTCACTAGTTCATTCACATAAACCATTTGTATTTTAGTTATTTTAAAAGCTTCTTTTTTCTACAAGTTTACTGTTTCTAAAAAAAAAATTCAGCACTTAAAAAATTGATTTCAATATCCTAAAATTTCTAAGTAAAAGAAAGTGTGGATTTGTTCTTTCATATATGTTAGCCTTTGCGACAATGGCCCAGGCTAAATTTTTGTATTATGTTGTAGGATATTTTTGTTTAAATTTTATTGGGATATGTGGTTAATATTAATGTTTATTAAATTTTTTTTTTATAAAAATAGTTATTGTTGTTTTTACTAACAAATTCAATTAATAAATGGAGAACAAATTGAATTTGCAACTATTTATATTAATTAAATAATTCAAATTGTAACTCGGATACATTATTTATTATTCTACATATTTTCTTAAGAAATAAGAAAAATAATCACAATAATGTAGGAATATTTATATTTTATCGAATTAACAATAATTAGGTGCAGTATTTAGAATGAGATTATTGGAGATGATTTTTAAACTTTTGGCAAAGAAATTGCACAGTTTTTGTGCAAAAACTGCACCAAAATAGTATAAATGTTTGAAAAAGGCCTAAATCAAAATGTCAGTAAGTGAAATATACAATTGACTCCGGATAATTAAAACAATTCATGTATTTGAAATATTTAAAGAAATATGGTATTTCCACAAATTGAAGTCACTCTACACAAACAAATACATGTAAAATGATTCTTAGGAGAGAAAAATATAATTCTCAATCATAAGATTTAATTTGTAAAGTGCATTCATATTTATTTTCAGTATAATAGTATTTTGTACTTATGGAACATTTTCTCACTTCCACGGATCCATTCATACAATATTTATTCGAAATAATAATAATAATAATAATAATAATAATAATATTTTCTTTATATATTAATTCAAAACGTGCTGAGTCTAAGTGGCAGACTCGCATGCTTCGGAATCCTATGTGGAAAAATTACATACTTCATTATTCAGTTTGAGTAGATTTTAATTTAATTCCAATCCAAAAATAATTAGGTTAAGATTATCTATAAATATGTTGATTATTTATGGTCATGTTACATGTATTAATTGGATTTTAATATCATTTCTTATTAACCATTGAATTGTAAATGCATTTTAAAAATTAATATATTATGTATTTTTTATCAGTTTACATACATAATATAATATTAATCATCTCCTGATGAGCTTCGATTTAACGTCCATATTGTTTGTATAAAAAAATAAATTACATTTATCTTAACAACAATAATAAAATTATTTTTTAACATTAATTAGAAAAATAAAATTATTTATCAATTAATATATTTATTTTTTAAGTAGTTATATGATAAAGTTAGAAAAATTGCTATAATATAATACATGTAAGTAGCACAAGTAACAAGTATCATTCAGATTAAAATACATAATAATATATATTTTTTGTAGAAAATAAATTAAATTTTAAATTTATTCTTATTAATTTTAAAATTTAAAAATATTTTTTTAACAATCACCAATGTAATACACGGATGTTGTATTAATAATAATAATAATAATAATAATAATAAAAAAGAGTAAAGGTAGGTAATGGAGTGTCACTTATATTCACCAACACAAGACAGAAGACAAAATGATTACTTGTCCGTTTCCATCTCCTAACCCTTCCTTTTCTCTCTTGGTTTTCAGCAGGACACACACATGTGTATATATATAATACCCTCTCTCATGATCCTCATCATTATTCTTCTGTTATCTTAATTCCTTTTTTTTTTTCCCCATTTTTTTCTACATATCATCTCTCTCCATATGCTCCAACTTATTTACATAATTAATTGTAAGTAATTTTAAAATATGTAGTATATATACTTGAAACCACATACAGAGGCGTTCACTACTTTTTTGTGGAGATAAAATGTGAAAGAACATTAGATAGCAAGATGAGCTGATCATTATTATATCTGAGTAGCACTTGTCAACTTTTCATATGTAGCAGCCTTCATAATTTACCTTTTAAAACAGTCCAAATATTACTTTTTTTTTTCTTTTTTCTTTTTTGTTTTTTGTTTATAGTTTAGATAATTATACCCTGCAACATTTAATTAATCAGCTTTTTAAGCTGAGCTTGTGGGTGAAGCTACTAGCTATTTACCAGTGGCCTGTGGCTCTGTATAGGTGTTTCTTGTCATCAGCTACTCTTTTTTATGTCACAATAAACCTGGATTAAAGGTAGTCAGTCGTATGATTCATAGATGATATAATAGAAAGAGTAGTAAAAGATTAATTAATTTTCTTTTTCTTCAAAAATTTAATATAATAATGAGTGCGTGAATTTGATCGCAGGTAGAATTAATGATGTCGGGTTGTGTTCCACCAGGGTTCCGATTTCAGCCAACCGATGAGGAGTTGGTCGGTTACTATCTCAAGAAGAAGGTGGCATCCGAAAAAATCCATCTTCATCTTATTAAAGATATTGATCTCTATAGGATTGAGCCATGGGATCTTCAAGGTATATATATATATGTCAATTCTTAATTTATGTATAATAATTAATGCACTTGTTGCTTAATTAGGGTTTCATGACTCAACTTGTTTTTGCATCAACCTTCAACAAATCCTTCAGAAATATGTTTATTTATATTTTTTGTTCTAATTAATTACTATAATTCAACTCCAAACCTCTGTCACGGTTCTTTTTT